CAGAGCAGCTGGAGAAACCATTTCCTATAAAGTGAGGGATTGCAGGGGGAGCTGGAGGAGGGTGTAGCAGCGTCTGGGGACATGAGGAAGGCCTGAGGGAGCACATCTCACACAACAGTGCGCAAACCCAGCCTTCACACTGAGGCGTCAGCAGAGGACTAAGCAAGTTTCCACGGGACAACTTCTGAGGATAGGTGAGGCAGGCGTCACCGGTGGTCCAGAAAGCAACTGCAAATAGCAGTGATCGCGCCAGCGCCAGCACAGCCCATGTCAGGTCGTGTGGTGGCGCCCTCGCCTGTGTGTGGGCCGGAAAGCATGCGGCGGGATTGCTGGTGGGAACACAGGAGCAATTGGAAAGCAAAAGCAGCGGCAGCAGTGGACTATTGTACGGTCTTTCAGAGCACTTTCAAGACAAGAGGTGCTGGTCAGTTTGACAGGGACCCCAAACAATCTAACACAGCCTCTCCCTCTTATCAAAGACAGCTTTAGTACCTCAGGACTTACAGATTGTGGTGGAGAAAGCGGGTGTGTGTGTGTCAAATACTACTAATTTCAACCCAGGAAAGGTGGGTGGGCTTTCTGGTCTTTTTAGTGGAGAAAGATACCTAATGTGAATATTTAAATCTATGTTTTGTTTTGTTTTGTTGAGACAGGGTCTCACGATGTAGTTAAGGCTTAAGTTCACTGTGTACCCACCCTGGCCTTGAACCCACAGCAGTCCGCCTGCCCCAACCTCTTGAGAGCTGGGACTACAGGTGTGCGCTAGCACGCCTGGCTTAAATGTACTTAACTATAAAAGTATATTTGGCCCAAAATTTGAGAAAAGTGTTAGCTTTCTCCTGTCACTTTTTTTGGTTTTTAGAAAACTGAAGTATTTCTATTGTTTTTTTTTCTTTTTTCTTTCTTTCTTTTTTTTTTTTTTTGTACTGGGAATCAAACTCAGGACCTGCTTGCGAAGCAGGCGACTTGTGCCATATCCCTGGCCCTTTTTCTATTGTTTTTTGAAATAATTTTAAATGTACAGAAAAAAAGAAAACAGAACAAAGAACTGTGTGTTTCTTTCCAGTATTGCTGACATTTGCCACAGTTGCCTTACTCCATAATATATAAAGGGATGTACATATATTTCTGTCAGTTTTGTTTTATTTCTGTGATGATCTCTCAAAATTCTCATGTGTTACTTACAGTGTGAACAGTTATTGAAAATATTGCATTCAGAGATGTCTGGTGTCATAAATGACTAGATTCTCATACCTGCCTCTGCATTTAGTCTGTCACTGTGTGTTTGGGTTAAAGTATAAGGAAGAAAATCCATGCTAGGCCTGGTGGCGCATCCCTGTAATCCCAGTACTTGGAGGCTGAGGCAGGAGATCACTGTGAGTTTGAGGCCAGCCTGTTCTACATAGTGAGTTCAAGGCCAGTCTTAACTACATAGTGAGACCCTGTCTCAAAAAAGAAAAAAGACAGACGGAGAAAATTAATTTCCCACATATAAGTGGTTCGGAAGAGTATTTTGGTAGTTTTTTTTGGTGGTGGAGCACTATGGTTATTATTTGAATTGACCTAAACATTTGAACAATGATGGCTTCTTATGGGTTATTTGTAGTGTAGACTCTGAACCCATATCACTAGCTTTCTCTCTCTCTTTTTTTCCTTTTGGTACCAGGAACTAAACTCACGACCTCACGCTTGCCAGGCAGGCACTTGCGCCACTGAGCTATGCCCCTGGCCCCTCGCTAGCTTTCTGCATTGTTAGGGTCTGTTGGTCTCACTTGCTTTGAAAAGCATGTTTTCTGGAAGAAGTAGTTTGACTTTGGTACACAGATATGCTCTTTGACTGGTACTTCAAACATTTAGACCCTTCCTTTTCTTATTAGTGCCTTCAGTTTTGCGGAAGGAGGAGCTGGCACCTGCCTTCCTCCAGTGTACTTTGACAGGAAAACTAAGGTATTTAGGAAGGACTAATTGTTTCCATTGTGTTATTGTGTTATTGTTTCTCATCTAGAATTTCAGTTTGCACTTCTTTACTGAAGTAGACTGTTTAACCAGATTGTACTTGGGCTGTGTTTTTAAACATTTTAAAGCACATGTTTATTCTGAAGGCTTTTGTTCCTGCAAGGGAGTTTGCCTGCCCTAGCTGTGGAGTTTTAAGAAGGAAATCTAGGTCAGTAGCTCTGAGCAAAGGTGTAGGCGGGACTCTCTGTCAGTTAATGGTGCTTAATGCAGCTTTGGAAAGTAGCAAGTGGGCCTTCTGTATCCTCGAACCACAGCCCCAGGCTCCTGCTCCAGAGCATGAGGAAAACACACCTACTTCTCCAACTAAAACCCTAGTTCCTTACGGAAGTGTAAGACACACATGCAGAGGCGTGGCCCTTTCAAGTAGATTTTATAAGTGACACGTTGTTTGAAGTCTTTTGTGATGACTTAAGCTTTTCATTCTAAATGCAGATCGCTTTCCAAGAAGTTTGGTGTAGGGGGTGAATTCATTAACAAACTAGGAAGTCCAAAATAATGACCTTGTGGCAACTGTTAGAGCAACTTACTTACTGAATACTGTTATGTACCACGCAGTGAGGTCAGCACTAGGAAGAAATAAAGTAGTAAAATACAGCTTTGCCTTTTTATTTTTTTTCTCAGAGGGGAGCAAACTCAGGCCCTCAGGCTGCCTTAGCACTCAGCTAAATCCCCAGCCCATTTTCACTGTTTAGAGCAACATGAATTCTCACGTACTAATACATGTGAAATTATGAAACTTCTTGATGAACATAGACTACTTAAGGGTATTAAATATGAAAAGAGGCTAATGAAGTAAGTGGTTAAGGACCAAATTATCAATGACTGTTGAAAGAGTTGAGAGGAAAAAACCCAGGCATGGGGGAGCTGGGGATTTAGCTCAGCGGCACAGCGCCTGCCTGGCAAGCGTGAGGTCGTGAGTTTGATTCCTGGTACCAGAGAAAAAACAAAAAAACCACCAAAACCCAGGCATGGTGGACTATGCCTTTAATCACAGCACTTGGGAGGCTGGGGCAGAAGGATCATTACAAGTTTGAGACCAACTTGGGCTACACAGTGAGTTCAAGACCAGCTTGGGCTACATAGTGAGACCCTGTTTCCAAAAAAACAAACCAAAAAAAAAAGACAACCCAGAGGAAAACGAGCAGACATCAGTGGAGCGGCTCAAGAGAAAGAACCCCAAGTCTAGCTCTAGGGTGGAGTTGGGCAGGAAGGTTGCCAGGTAAGGCATCCCTGATCTCATGCGCAGAGGCCTGGAGACAGGAGGGAGCCTTAGGGACACATGCCTGTCCAGAGCATGGTTCTTCTCTTGGAATGAGCGACAGGTTGTCTTTATTAGCTTACAAACAGAAGGGAAGTATGCCTGTCCTACACAGGGTATGATTGGAGTTACCGAATTTTCCTTTACTACAGTGATTATAGAACTGAACAGTTCTCCTTAGTGCTGTACTGACCAAAAGATAAAATGTCTGGCTGTCCCAATTACATGGTTAACTCCTGGCAAAGCCAGGAACAAGAAACCTAGTTATCTCTGCTGGTGCCCAACCCTGTCCTTGTTTGCCCATCCTCCTTCCCTCCTTCCTTCCCTTCTTCTGTCCCTCCCGTCCTCCTCTCACTCGCTCCCTCCTCTTTGTAGTTTAAACCCTGCTCTAGGTTTATTAGAATATTAATAATAATAAAAGAGGAAAAAGGAAAACCTGTGTTTGTAAAGGTACCCAAAGTCTTCCAGACCGTTGGGTCAGTTGCAGACTGATTCCTGGCTTCAACTTTTGAGCACCACAAACATCTCTTTGCTCCTAGAATTCTCGAGTTAATTTCTCTGTAATAATCTAGAAGAGGGCTGTATTACTACATTTGTGCATATGTGTGTGTGTGTTTGTTGAGACAGGGTCTTGCTATGTAGTTCAGGCTGGCCTTGAACTCACTATGTAATCTAGGCTGGACACGAATTTGTTGGAAATCCTCCTGCCTCAGCCTCCTGAGTGCTGGGATTACAGGTGTGTACCACCACTCCCAGTTTGCCTCAGTTCTTCAGTCATAAAAGTACAAAGATAGTAATATATTCATCTTCTAGATAATTATAAAAAAATTAACTAGAAAGTTATAGGAGAAAAGAGATGTTTCTGGTGCTCTGCAGTTGAAGCTAGAAATTAGTCTGTAATGCTAAGTGTCAGATTGTTTCTCTATCGTGTTGAAAAAACTTTCCTTTTTTTGTTGAAGTTTATTGACTCCTTTACTTAAAAGCAACTGACTATAACTATGTAGGGTTCTTTCTGAACTTTTTTTTTTTTCCATTCTGAACTTTATTCTGTTTCTTTTAACCAAGTGTGTGGTCAGTACTACAATGAGTTGGTACAATTATGGTAACTTTTGAGATCAGATAATGTAATTATTTTACCGTTGTTTTTCTTAAAATGATTTTTGGCTTTTCTGGGTTTTTAAAGTTTCCATATAAATTATGGAATGAGCTTGTTATCTTTTTAAAATTCTGCTGGGATTTTAATTTCAATTTCCTTAAATCTCTTGGTCAGTTTGAGAATTGTCATGTTAACAATCTTGGTTCTTCCATATTTTAACTGTTATTTTGTGGTGGAAATAACCTTCTATTTGCCAGTATTACCAGAAGATACTCTGTAGTGTTTTTAACCTTAATTAGAATGTTATGCTTCCAGTAATTTATTTTTTTCTGTCTGTAAATTTTTAAAAAGTTTTCCTGAAAGGCATTTGCTAGATTGGATTATGTTGCCTGATGTGGTGTTGCAGGGTAGTAATGTCAGCACTTGGGAGGTTGAGGCAGAAGGCCTTCCACAAGTTCGAGGCCAGCCTGGGCTACATTGTGAGTTCAAGGCTAGCCTGAACTATATAGTGAGACCCCTGCTTACAAAAAACAAAACAAAAAAACAAAAAGATTTGGTTATATTGAACTAGCTGTGATACTTTGTAGAAAATAGGCTGTCTTGTAACTTGTTTTGCATCTGTGTCTTAAGGGTCTCCAACTGAATTCCTGGATGAGACAATGGCCTACCCAGAATATCAGAACAGCCAGAACTGGCCGGAAGGTGCAGACTTTTGTTTCCAGCCTGGGCAAACGATGAACCCTATGCCGACTGGTAAGTGTGGCCTTGTTCGTGCCTGCTAAGTAAATATGTGCATGATATGTATACTAGAAACCGGTACCCATCACTTAGATAAAACATTTTAGCCTAAATGCAGTTCAGAAACCACAACGAAGTTGGGTGTGATGGTGCAGGCCTATAATCCCAGCACTCAGGAGGCTGAGGCTGGAGGATCACCGTAAGTTTGAGGCCAGCCTGAGCTACATAGTTCAAGGCCAGCCTGAACTACATTGTGAGACCTATCTGAAAAACAACAAAAAAAACAAAAATCACAACCAAAATATCATTATTCCTCCTGAGCTTCTGGTTGACCTTTATCTCCTGCTTACCCTTTCTTTGAGGCACTTATATTCTGCAGATAAAATCTGTTTCTCCTTTTCAAAATCTGGTTCTAATAAATTATTTGAATTTCATGTGTTAAAAACTAAAAGATCAGTAGTATCTCAGAATCTTAACTCTTTTTTTTTTTTTTGGTTTGCTTTTGTTATTATTTTTTGAGACACAATCTGGCTATCTAGTTCAGGCTGACCTTGAACTCACTATGTAGCCCAGGCTGGCCTCAAATTCAGGGTCAGCCTCTCAAGCGCTGTGATTATAAGCCTGTGCCACCATACCCGGCTGTCAGAACCTTAATTATTCAAGAGGGAATTGTTACAGTAATAATTGTGCCATCCACAAAAAGGCAGAGGGGATATAGCTCAGTGGCCTGGCAAGCACAAGATCCTGAGTTCCATTCCCAGTACCAAAAGAACATACCATTTGTTGACTGCCTGTTTTTTTTTTGCCAGGTACAGTGCCAGAGCCTCTGAGTGCATCTTGCTTGTTTCTTACCTGTCAACGTGTATTATTATCCTCACTTGAGAGAAAACTGACTTATACTCAATTTGTATAAAATTCAAGGGGAAAAAATTGTGTTAGAAAGCATCTCAGATGCAGCGCTTCTCTGCCCAATTGGCAAATGTGAGAGGGGTTCCTTCAGCCCATCTATTTTCTAATTCAAAATTTTAGAATTCTTTTTCACCATAGTCAGAAATTTTGTATCTTTGTGATATGACCCTCTAGCTCTCTAACCACTCCAACCCTAAGCAACCACCAATCACCTTTTTGTTTGTATATATTTGCTTATTCTGGATGTTTCCTATAAATCGAGTCAACGTAATATGTAGTCTGCCTGCCTGCCTGCTTGCCTGCTTCCCTCTCTCTGTCTCTCTCTCTGTTTCTCTCTCTGTCTCTCTCTCTGTCTCTCTCTCTGTCTCTCTCTCTGACTTTGCACTTGCCAGGCAGGTGCTGTGCTGCTGAGCTATATCTCTGGCTGAATATGTAGTCTTTAGTCACTGGCCTTTTTAAAAACAAAACAAAACAAAACAAAAAACTTCACATGTTCCTTTTTTACTGAGTATGTTCCTTTTTAAAAAAAAAAATATAGCTACTGTGTTGGACATCTCGTGGTTCTGATTTGCATTTTTATAATGACTAATGATGTGAATTTGTTGTCATCTTTTCGAGTGCCTATTGGCCATATCTGTATATTTCTTAGAGAAATATGTATCCAGAATCTTTGCCCATTTTCCGTTTTGTCTTCCCGTTCCTATGCTCTGAGTTCTATATATTCTGCATATGAGATGTTTTTCAGATTTGGGATTTGCAAACATTTTCTCCCATTGTGTTCATTGTCTTCTACAGTGGGACATAAAAGTTTTTTATTTTGATGAGATTGAGTTTATCCATGTTTTCTTTTTTTGCTTGTATTTTTGGCGTTAATATTTATGATTTTGTTGCCAAAACCAAATTCATAAAGGTTTATACCTTTCTTTTGTTTTAGTTCCTATATTTGGGTCTTTGGGCCATTTTGAGCATTTTTTTTTTTTTTTTGTATAATGAGAGGTATTACAGCCAGGTATGGTGGCACACACCTATAATCCCAGCACTTGGGAAGCTGAGACAAGAGGATTGCTATGAGTTGGAGGGCAACCTGAACTACATAGTGAGACCCTGTCTTAAAAAAAAAAAAGGGGAGGTGTTACTATTAAATTCATTCTTTTGCTGTGGATATCCCTTGTACCAGCTTCATTTTTTTCCAAAAACCCGTAGAATAGTCTTGATATCCTTGTTGAAAATCTGTGAAGCACGAACACATGATTTTCTCAACTTTCAGTTTTATTCCATTGATTTTTGGGTCTTTTTTCCAAGATAGTTGCCCTTTATGCCCATGGGTTCCTTATCCAAGGATTCAATAAACCATGGATCTAAAATATTCAAGGAATAGCCCAGCATGGTATAATCCTGCCACTTAGTGGGGTGAGGCCGAGAGATTACCACAGGTTCAGAACCAGCCAGGGCTACGTAGTGAGTTGAAGGCCGGCCTTAACTGCTTAGCAACACCCTATCTCTCTTTTTTTTCCCCCTGGTATCGGGAATGGAACACACGACCTTGCGCTTGCCAGGCAGGCGCTGTGCCGCTGAGCTAAATCCCCAGCCCCAGCAAGACCCTATCTCAAAACCAAAACCAAAACCCAAAATATTCACGGAAGAAAAACTGCATCTGTACTGAGCCCGTACAGACATTTATTTCTTGTAATTCCTTAAATGATGCATTATTAACAAGTATTCTAATACTTAGTAAGAAGTATTTCCATAGCACTTAGATGATAAGGTATTATAAGTAGTTTAGAGATAAAGTACACACAGAGTGCACATGGATTTTACGCTTTAAACAAGAGACTTGGGGGTGCTAGGGTGTCGGTGTATGTGTGCTGGTGGGTTTGTCGCCAAGCTCCTGTTTGTGACAAGGGACAGCTGCAGTGCACAGGCGTGCTGGCTGTTAGCTCTTCGGTAGGTTTTGCAGTTGGGAAGTGTGAGTTCACTTTTTCCTAATGTCATTGTTTTTTTCTTTCTTCTTTTTTTAGATGGGAGTCTTGCTGTGTAGCTCAGGCTGGCCTGGAACTTAACTGTGACCCTCCTGTCTGTGCCACCGAAGTGCTGGGATTACGGGCGTGTGCAACCACGCTTGGCCTGGAAACATCTTGAGGGAGTGATGCATTATTAGCCTCCCCGGAGGTGCTAGTTAGAAATGCAGATTCTCAGGACCCAGTTAAAAACTCTAGGGTGATTGATGGAGAAGCTACATTTGACAAAGCCTGCCTAGAAAGCAGGACTTTTTCGTCTTGACCAGCTTGACCAGCTCGACCAGCTTGGCTTTTTTTTTTCCCATGTGTGAAAACACAGATTGCCTGCTTCTGCCAGCCCTGGGTCGAGAGCCTTTCCTTTCTCTCAGGATGCCAGTTGCTTACCCGGTCCCCTTTGGATGATACCTACTTGATGCAAAAATTTCCCTTCTTGACCTTTTTCTGAAAACATTATTTTTTAATAATTTAAAATTAAGTCTAGGTGTGGTGGCACACACTTGGAATCACAGCAGTTGGGAGGCTGAGGTAGGAGGATGGCTGTGAGTTCAAGACCAGCCTGAATTGCATAGTGAAACCTGTCTCAGGCCAAAAAAAGTGTTTATCTAGTAAATATATTTGAAAACTTAGATTTCTCAGTATTTTCACCTTCTAAGATGTTAGTTGGCTTATTTAGATAATCCAAGAGAATATTGGACTAGCTAGGTGTGGTGGTGGACATCTGTAATCCCAGCACTTGGGAGGCTGAGGCAGGAGGATTGCTGTGCGTTTGAGGCCAGCCTGGGCTACATAGCAAAACACTGTCTCAAAAAGAACAAAAAAAAAAAAAAAAAAAA